CTGATCTATAACACTGCTGTGAATTATGCTAAATTAAGGCAGAGTGACTAATTCAAGGCATCCTGGAAGTTTCATGGCAAAGTCTGCATTTTAGAAGTTTTCTTTTTTAATTCCATTCAATCATGTTTGATTCTCTACAACAGTGATCCCCAACTTTTGCAGCTTGGCGGCCCAGCTGGGGGAGCAGAGGGGAACTGGGTCACGCAAATGGTGGGTTGATGTGTGCCGCTCAACCTGCACAAGTGATGGGCCAGGGTGCGCACAGCAGCTCAACTTACACAGGTTGAGTTGCACACAAAGACTGCACATCGGCCCGCAACTTGTCCAAGTGTAGCTGCATGTGCATGCACACTGGCCTACCATTCACACAACCCTCTTCCAAATAGGCCATGGTAATGGGCCGTGGCCTGGAAGTTGGGGACCTTTGCTCTACAAGTCTCTTAGCAAGGTTTTTCAGAAGTGGTTTGCCATGGCCTCTGTCCTTGGGCTGAGAGAAAATGACTGGCCCAAGGTCACCTATACTATTTCTTATCCAAGGCAGAACTAGAGTTTACATCTCCAGTTTCCAACCTGATGCCTTAACTACTTCACCAAACTGGATCTCAAAACCAAGTTACCTAGTTATACTTTACGGCTCTTTTAAGTACCACACCAAAAAAATTAAAAAGAATAGCGAAAGACAAAGGCCCATCTTAGTCTAACAACATGAACTAATCACATGATTCTTGGATATTCACAAGAGAGATTTTTCACAATTTTTGTCAAAATTTTTGACAATTACTGCTTAGAACTATATTTGGAGCCATGTTCTGAACACAGAAATAATGAGTTTTAAAGACAGCCCTTCTTAAGACTTATCTCCATGAATTTTTCAAATTCCTTTTTGAAGCCATCCACGGTTAGTAGTCATCACCATGTTTTGTGGTATAGTAATTAATTTCACATTAATTACCCCATATGAAGTTCTTAACTTTTATTTATTTTAAATCTCCTGCATATATTAACATTAATATAATTTTCACATATATGAGTCATATATTCTTTATGTTTCCTGCATGTCCTGGTGAAGTGTTGTAATCTGCTGTAAATTTAACTGAAACATGCTGAATGAGGTTAACAAAAGATAATATCCAATACATGTGAAGAATATGATGTTGGTTAGCCCTGATCTATGAACTATATTAATGTACATACATGTTATTCTAAGGACTATAGTAAAAGAAAGGAATACTCCAGAGTAAAAATATTCATACTCAAAAGAAAAGGAGATAGGGAGAGAAACTGTCCCATTATTACATTAACAATTCTCCAAATTAAAATAGCGTATTTAAATTATGTGATTATTCAATCACATAAAATGTGTTACTCAGTTTTCTTGTGACACCAAATCATACTTCAGACATGGAATAAGTTTTGACTCACTGTTAATCACTCAGAAATTAAATTTGCATTTTGTGATTGAGAAAAAAATAATTTTAAATATATAAAAATATTAATTAATTAAAGCATGAATAGTTGCCACACCTATTTACATTCTACATTATGTAAATTTGCTACAAATATATATCTTGCCTCTAAAAAGCATCTATTTTGTTTCATCTTTCTTTGTAATGAAAATATATTGATAGTGATTTCACAATCTTCTGCTATGTCCTATTCAGTTATTTTCATTCAACACACAGCTTATACATAGGCAAACGAGTGTAAGGGACAAGATCTGCTAAATCTTGAACAAGCATGAGGTGCATACATATCTTGCTTATTACAGCATGTCATTGACAGAAGATGATATGGCCATACAATAGGTAGGGTCAGTAGGTGACTCTTTGATCTTTCTTCTTTCCTGCATCAGCCACATGGGAGTTTGCAAGGAATATTAAGCTACTAGTATAGACAGCAATTGGCGATACATTTGGGATGCAATATCTATTTTCTTTTCTTAATATCTTACAACAGGCTGAACATTAGTTGCTTATTTATTCAATTTCTATAGCTGACCATCTTAATCCAACTGACTCGATTTACCTCAAATAGTCAATGTTCTTTTGAAAGCAATAATACCATTAGTCAGATAAAGTATATACAATCACACTGAAGTTTCAATAATTTTTTCATCATTTATGTTTTACATTCTTGTAGTAGAATAATTTATTTCTTTAATCAGGAAAATCTTTCATGAAGATCAGATGGCTCCTTTAGCCATGATAAACGATGATTATTATTATTATTATTATTATTATTATTATTATTATTATTATTATTTAATCTTTAGTGAGATTCACAGCCTTTGAGGCTGGTTAATAGCTCAGCAGCTCGAGTCCTAACCAAGGACCTAGGAACTGTTAAGGTATCGTCGGAGGATGTAAGCTGTTCCGAGTAAGGTGGTTTTTTGTAGAGTCAAAATGTTCAAGTCTGACAAATTTAGAATTTCTAAATAGCGGGGTAGCCCTTTGGGTATTGCTCCCAAATTATATTATTATTATTATTATTATTATTATTATTATTATTATTATTATTACTATTATTACTATTATTTATTGAATTTCTATACCGCCCTTCTCCCGAAGGACTCAGGGCAGTGAACAGAATAAGATTTCATATACATATAATATTTTTTTTTAAACAGTAAATAATAAATTGAGTCAACTTAGTGTATCTGCTAAGACCTTGGCATAGAATTTAGATGTTTATGCTAGCCCTGCTTGTTGAAACAGAAAGGTCTTCAGGGCACGTTGGAAAGTGCGAAGATCTGGGATTATTTGTATTCCAGGAGGTATTTTGTTCCAAAGAGTAGGTGCCCCAACAGAGAAGACTCTCTCCCTTGGAACTACTAGACGACATTGTTTTAATGATGGTACTATGAGTAGGCCTACTCTGTGAGAGCGTATTGGTTGGTGGGAGGTTATCGGTTGCAGCAGGTGGTCTCGTAAGTACTCAGGTCCTAAACCATGGAGCACTTTAAAGGTAAGAACCAACACCTTGAAGCGCACTCAGAAGGGCACCGGAAGCCAGTGCAGCTCACGTAGAAGAGGTGTTACATGTGAGCGCCATGTTGCTCCCATAATTACTCACATGGCCGCATTCTGGACCAGTTGGAGCTTCCGGGTGCACTTCAAGGGGAGCTCCATGTAGAGAGCATTGCAGTAGTCAAGTCGAGAAATGACGAGGGCTTGAGTGACTGTGCATAATGAGTCCCGGTCTAGAAAGGGACGCAATTGGCAAATCAGGCAAACCTGATAGAAAGCTCCTCTGGCCACGGCTGTTATATGATCTTCTAAAGACAGTCATGCATCCAGGAGGATGCCTAAATTGCGAGCTTTCTCTGCGGGGGTCAATGACTCATCCCCAATAGTTAGTGATGGGACTAACTGGCTGTAGTAGGACGCCGGCAGCCACAGTCACTCAGTCTTGGAAGGGTTGAGTTGAAGCCTGTTTCTCCCCATCCAGACCCGTACGGCCTCAAGGCACTGGGACATCACTTCAAGGGCATCATTGGGGTGGTTTGTGGTGGAGATGTATAGTTGAGTGTCATCAGCGTATAGATGACATTGCATCCCAAAACCACGGATCTCCCCCAATGGCTTCACATAAATGTTGAACAGGAGAGGCGAGAGGACCGATCCCTGTGGAACCCCACAAGTAAGGGGCCTCGAGGTCGATCTCTGTCCACCTGTCAACACTGACTGTGACCTGTCAGAGAAGTAGGACGAGAACCACCGTAATATGGTGCCTCCCACTCCCAGCCCCTCCAACTGGTGCAGCATGATACCATGATCAATGGTATCAAAAGCCGCTGAGAGATCTAATAGGACCAGGATAGAGGAACATCCCTTATTTGAACATACTATAATATACTGCATTTGCATCTTTTTTCTAGTTATTAAAACATTTAATTACCATTGCACACAACCAAAATACAGTTAAATATTGCATATATATGTCCATAAAATACAAGGCATGAATTGGCACTAAATTGAAGTCTTCATAAGCGAAGCACAAAACATGACTTTACAGGAAATAAAATGTTTTGGGGTTTGTTTTTTTGTTTTGTTTTTTTAGGACTCCAGCACCTTTTTTCTAATTTGGGATCTGAGTGAAAATGATTCTCAGTAAATTTTGAAAATATAGAATACAGTTGCTTGTAGCTGTCCTAAACCATTGATGTCTACTATTCCTTCTATCATAATACAAACATTCTGATTCTCACATGGAATACTGAAATTAAATACTATAGGTATTAACAATATGAAGAGAAAATGCCTAGAAAGCATATTTATGTTGCTTTGAGTTCTATGATAAAATAAGAGTTATGTGTATTAAATAAATAAAAAACATAAATTAAATTCCCCATGCTGACTGGGGAATTCTGGGAGTTGAAGTCCATATATCTTAAAATCCCACAGGTTGAGAAACACTGTAATATAACTTTCACAATCATATGTTAGAACTTGGACAAATTGGACTTAACAGTACATATTTTTGTTAACAATAGGCTATTTCTAAACTTCAGAGATGGGGAACTATGGCTCTTTTATGACTAGTGGACTTCAACTCCCAGAATTCCTGAGTCAGTCATAAAAGGGCCATAGTTCCCCACCCCTGCATACACTTTAATATTTTGGCTAGATCTGTCTAGACTTTCTCCCAAATGGCAGACAACCCATTGCTTTATGGTTGTAATGGCAGATTTGTGAACTTTTGTATCTGCCTCAGACATTAAAATTTGTTCCTACTTTAGTTTCTTATCAACTTAGTTGAATTGGATCAGCACAATTTCTTAAAAATCTTTGAGAGCATACTTGTTTTGCAGTTTCATCTTTCACAATGTTATTAATTTGTTAAGTGATTCACTTAACAAATGTGGCAAGAAAAGTAGTAAAATGGGGCAAAACTCACTTAACAAATTTCTCACTTAGCAACATAAATTTTGGACTCAATTGTAATGATAAATCAAGGCCTACCTGTGTATATAATATTTGTGAAATAACCACATAATACTCAGACTTTAAGTATTTTTATTTCTTTACACTGAATAGAAACATTCAGTTCATTTTGTTGATTTTGAAAATCAAAATACTTTTAAAGAATAGATTAAATGATTTCTAAAAAATATCTAAAATTAATCTATTTGGTCAGAATAAAAGCAGAATAAAATAGTTATAAATTTGGTTGGAAGAGAACCCAACAAAGGAAATATTAAGTTCATAAACAGAGCAATTAGGCTGGGTCTGCAGAGAAAACAACATTCCTCTCCCCGATTCCCCAAAGCATCCCTATCAGAAAGACAGTTGGGCAGTGACTTGTTGGCTTCTTCCCTTCTACATTCTAAATTCTTCTCCTTCCTGGCCACATATCCAATCACAGATATAATTAACAGCTGGTAAACAATTCTGGGAGCCATATTATTCATTCTTTTCCTAACTTCTTTTACTTTGAGCTTTGCTATAGCAGAGTTAATATGACTAGCATTATCATGGAGAATTGTTGTGACCTACAACATTTTAATTGTTATGTGAATTTTTTAAGGGTAATGGTTCCATATCCAATTTATTCAAAGCACTTTTGCCTTGCTGTTTGTTACTCACCTTAAATAGAATACTAATCACCTAAGCCTGTTTAAAGCTGATTGATGCTCAGAGTTGTTTCAGCAAATCTAAATGTAAATGAGAATTGGATATACCTAACATAGATATATACGAAGCAGTTTTCCAGATACTTCCTTTACTTACTTACTTATTTATTTATTTTGAGAGTGGGGGAGAGAATGAGCGTTGGTCTTACCTGATACGCCACTTCTAGTCACTAGGAAACGCCGGTCACTAAAGGGTTACAACCAAGCCAGTAGCTCTAGGACCGAGTCCACCAACAAAAGAAGCCCCGCCTCTTCCTGTATCCAGTTTGAGACGAGGACGAAAGGTAGACTGTCGTGTCTGTAGAAAAATAAAGGAAAGGTAAAAAATCCCCAGGACCCACCCCCCCTCTGTCAACAGCCAAAAGCCAGCACGAGAGGTGCCGGACCAATTGGGAGGGGGCGACCGGCGTTTCCTAGTGACTAGAAGTGGCGTATCAGGTAAGACCAATGCTCATTCTCAGTCACGGAGGAAACGCCGGTCACTAAAGGGATATACCAAAGCCCGTGTACCTATTGGGAGGGAGAAGGCCGGCGCCTCTCCTGGTCCTGGGAAGATACCCGCTGCAGCACACGTCTTCCAAAGGAGGCTTCCGCCGATGCATAAACATCCAACCGGTAATGCCGGATAAATGGAGATGGAGACGTCCAAGTAGCGGCTCGGCAGACCTCCTCGAGTGAAGCTTGGGTAGACCAGGCAGCCGAAGTAGCCGCGCTCCTGGTAGAGTGGGCTGTAACACCACGAGGCACTGGCAACGATTGAACTTCGTAAGCTAAAGAAATGGAAGCCCTGAGCCATCGACCCAAGGTAGTAGAAGAAACCTTTGACCCCATGGACTGGGGTTGGAAAGACACAAAGAGAGCCTCGGAGCGACGAAAGGAAGAAGTCCTGGAGATATAAATCTTGAGAGCCCGACGAACATCAAGCTTGTGCCACACAGTCTCCAAGCGATGACGGGGGAAAGGACAGAAGTTGGGAAGAATGATCTCTTGAGAACGATGAAAAGTTGAATTGATCTTTGGAATAAAGGCTGGATCCAATCTCAAAATTACTCGATCAGGATGAATAATACAGAGATCCTGGCGAACTGAGAGGGCAGCCAACTCCGAGATCCTTCTAGCCGAAGTGATAGCCACTAGAAAGGCTGCCTTAAAAGACAAGAACTTCAGCAAGACTTCCCGGAGAGGTTCAAAAGGAGGACCAGTAAGAGCTAACAGAACCTTATTCAGGTCCCAGGTGGGAAACCGATGAACAGCCGGAGGACGTAGATTGGTTGCGCCTCTGAGGAATGAACGGATGAGAGGATGAGTGGACACCGACTCAGGTGTCGCAGGTGAGGATAGATGAGATGGCAGAGATTTGCCTCCGGAGGGTATTGGGAGAAAGCCCCGAAATGAATCCATCGTGAAGGAAGCCCAGGATGTCAAGAATGGAAGCAGCAGTAGGAAGGACCTTCTTACGGCGACACCAGGCAGAGAAGGCCATCCAAGTGGCATTGTAAATACGGTTCGTTGATCCTCGACGGGAGGCCTGGATCATAGAAATTATTTCCGAAGGCACCCTGGCTGAGGGCAGGAGGAACCGCTCAACCTCCAGACGGTCAGCCGGAACCACTGAGGGTCTGGATGAGCTAGACGGCCCTGCCACAGAGATATTTTGTCGGCCGGGATCTGCCAATGGGGAGCAACAGAGAGAGCCATCAGATCCGCAAACCACGGTTGTCTGGGCCAGAAGGGAGCCAGAAGGATGAGCTCGGCTTGTTCCTGCAACAGCTTCCTGATGACCCTGGAGATGAGGGGAAGAGGTGGGAAAGCATAGAGAAGAAGACCACAAGGCCACGGGCTGATCAAGGCGTCCACAGCTTCGGCTCCCGGGACAGGAATCTCGTGTAAAACCTCGGAAGCTGGTGGTTGGATTCGGACGCGAAGAGGTCCACTGCTGGAAGGCCGAAGCGATGCACGATGTCCTGGAACAGAAATGGATCGAGGCTCCACTCCGTCTGGTCCACCACCGATCGACTGAGAGCGTCCGCCTGAACATTTGCTGACCCTGAGATGTGAGAGGCGTGGATGGATGCCAAGTGACTCTCCGCCCACCTGAAGAGACGAGATGCCTCCCTCATGAGAGCCTTGGAGAGGGTCCCTCCTTGCCGGTTGATGTGGGCCTTGGCAGCTACGTTGTCTGTTCTGATCAAGACATCCAGACCTCGAAGGAGAGGAGCGAACTTGCGAAGAGCTCGGAAGATGGCTCTGAGCTCCAAGATGTTGATGTGAAGTCCCCTCTCCTGGACCGACCACTGCCCTTGGGCCAGCTGAGACCCCAGGTGAGCCCCCCATCCGAAGAGGCTCGCGTCCGTGGTGATGCTCACGCGTTGAGGCACTCTGAACAGGCATCCCTGAGCAAGAGCCGGAGAGGTCCACCATGCCAAGGACCGGAGAACTTGAGGAGTCAAGGGGACTCTGGCCTCTGACGTGCTCCTACAAGACCGTTGAAACGGAAGTAAAAACCATTGAAGTTCCCGGCTATGAAACCGAGACCAGGGAGTGATCCCGAAGGCAGAAACCATTTTCCCTAGCAAGCGGGAAAGCTCCAGGAGGGAAAAAGAGCGAGAGGCCTTAACCTGGCCTACCAGCTCAACAATGCTGTCCTGACGATCCTGAGAAAGGGAAACCTGCAACCTGACAGAATCAATAACAGCCCCTAAATGCTGAATGCACGTGGAGGGAACTAGATTGCTTTTAGAACGATTAACCAAAAAACCATGGGAATGCAGGGTCTGAAGGGTGACCTGAATATCCTCATTACCCCTAACCTCAGAACTAGACAAAATAAGAAAATCATCTAGATAAAACAAAACTCTAACAGGAAAAGATCTCATATGGCCCGATAAGGCAGCCATGATCTTTGTAAAGACCCTAGGAGCTGAGGAAAGGCCAAAGGGAAGGGCTCTATACTGATAATGCCTACCCCGATAACAAAAACGGAGGTATTTCCGATGGTCCGGAAAAATGGGCACATGGAGATAAGCCTCCGTCAAATCGATGGAAGACAAAAAATCACCTGGACGGATCGAAAGGAGAATGGTCTGGAGGGAATCCATCTTGAACCGACGATAGACTATATATCGGTTCAAGGATTTAAGATCCAATATGGCCCTCCAGCCTCCTGAAGCCTTGGGAACTAGAAACAAACGGGAATAGAATCCCTGGCCAACTTCCCCTAGGGGAACACATTGAACAGCCCTAATCTCCAAAAGGTGTTGAATAGCCTCATCTAGCAGAACCCTCTTGGACCTGACATGAGAGACAGGGCACCTGACAAACCAGTCAGGGGGAACAGAAGAGAACTCAAGGGTCAACCCAAACCTAATAGTACGTCTAATCCAGGGGTCTGAAACTGAACAATCCCATTGGTCAGCAAAAAATGCTAACCTACCTCCAATTAAGGAGTCAGAGATAGGAAAAGGAGAACTAACGGGACCTGCGAAAGGGACGCCCCCTACCCCCCCCTGAAGGGTCTGCGGGGAGGGAAACGGGACCCCTGCCTGACCTGGAAATCCTGGGCTGAGGGTACCGCTGAGGCCTGGACTGGAAGGAAGAGAAGTCGGAGCGAAAGGAATGGCTTCGAAAGGAACCCTGCTGACGAGGATCAGATCTTCTCGATAAGGCAGGCAGAATCTTGCGATGATCCTTCGTCTCGATGAGGAGTGGGTCCAAGGCTGGGCCGAAGAGATAGTTCCCCGAGAAAGGAGCTGAAGCCAGTCTCCACTTGTTCCGAACATCTGCCTGCCACTGACGAAGCCACAGGAGCCTACGAGAAGTGACTGAAGCCCCGATAGCCTTAGCTGAAAATCTTGCCGCATTCAGAGTAGCATCAGCAGAGAACTCAACAGCAGCTAGGATCTTGTTGATGTCCTGGTGAGATCGCATATCAGAAGGAGGCAGCCTTTCCTGTAATTGGCGAAGCCAAAGGATGGAGGCCCTGTTAAAAAAGGAAGCGGCCGAGGAGGCCTGAATGGACCAAGCAGAGGCCTGGTGGTCCTTGACCAAGGAGCGTTCCAACTTCTTATCTTCAGGGCCCAGGAATTCCTCTGACGGACCAGTAAGAGGAGATGCAGAAGAGAGGGCGACGACGGGAGCATCTACAGAAGGAACTTGAAGAATATTAGCAAAATCAGATGCCATATTATAAAATCTTTTATCTAGACCATTGAGAACCGGGCCAGAACTAGGAGAAGACCACTGTCTTTGAACGACATCAGAAAACAGCTTGGGAGCTGGAACGACCTCTGCACGAATGGAAGGTTCCTGAAATAATAATGATGAAGAGGGATGCTGAGAAGATGGTGTAGAAGCCCCTTGAGAGGAAGGAGTAGAAGAAATTCCCAGGCCAGTAACATTTTGAGCTTTAAATAGAAGGGATCTGAATAATTGAGGCTTGAAGAGACCAATGAAGGAAGGCTGGTCTGGTTCAAGGCCTTCATCCTCCGAGAGATCTTGATCAGGGGCAATTTCCCCCTCAGACAGGGAACCTTGACTTGCATTTTCCGGGGAATCCGCCCTTTCTTCACATTGCACAGGATCAGCAACCATCTGGGCCCTCACAGAACGACTCTGCTGACTCACATAACTGGAGGCCTCAGAAGAGGCCCTTTGCTGAAGGCCTTCAGCAATACCCTGCCTAATTGAAACAGAAACAAGTTCAGCTAGGGCAGGAGTTAAATTTACAGGAGCCTCAGACCCCTGAATGCAGGTTTGGGCTTGAGCCTCAGGAAATTCTTGCCTTGGGGGGGCCTGAATAGAAACAATTGGAGATAGAGGCCTAGCAGCAGGAAAAACTGAAGAAGCATCAGCAGCTACATTCTCACCCAGAGTAGACTGATCAGGAGAAAAATCATGTTCAATTTGAATTTGGGAAGAAGGAACAGCCACATTGGAAGTGGGGAAGGCAGGAGATTTAGAAGGCCCCACAGAAGGAGATGAAACTCTAGAGGCCTCTGAAGCAGCTTTTTGAAAGGCCTTTTCCATGGCCTTATGCCTCCTGGTCTCTTCTCTTGATGATGTAGCAATATTAGCACTCTTGGAGTGAGTGGATCTAGTAGAAACTCTGGCTGCCTTGGGAGGAACAGAATCCCCTGAGGAACTTTCTTTAGGATCAGAAGAATGCCCCCTTTTTCCTTTGCTTTGGGATTTATTGCTCCTAGCATCAGCCATGATAAAGCAGAAATTTACTTTTGCAGCTCAGAATAAATGCAAAGGATAGAAATCACCCTTAAATGCACCCACAGGGAATAATTGGAGGTTCAGGTAACTCACTGCGCCAGGAGAGAAGCAGAGTAGAATCCAGGAGCCAGGAAGATTACTCAGGAGGCAGGAAATAGCCACTAGCCAAAGGGCTTAACAGCGTGGCAAAATTGGGCATGGAAAAGCCTTCGCGCCAGAAGTTAGCAGCCAGTATCCTCCAACAGCCACAGGAGGCAGGGAAACCTCTCCAAAAGCCTCCAAAATCTTTTGAAAGTGCTGCAAAAGATAGGGCGATGCAAAACGCACGTGGGCGTTGCTGCAGGGCTGCTCAGGGCCACTGGAGCGTTTCTAGCACTCCCCAGCTGATTCCAATAAAGTTTAGCCACTTTTGAAGAAAACTCCAGCAATTTGAGCAGAAAGGAGCAAACTAAGTAGAAATAAGCCAGCAATGGCCAAATAACTCCCCCACAAAGAGTTAATGAGAGAGAGAACTAACAGACACGACTGTCCTCTACCGGACCGAGTCTAAAAACTGGATACAGGAAGAGGCGGGGCTTCTTTTGTTGGTGGACTCGGTCCTAGAGCTACTGGCTTGGTTGTAACCCTTTAGTGACCGGCGTTTCCTCCGTGACTGAGAAACTTCAACATGTTCAATTAATTTTAGATTACCATGCAGAGAGTCAGTTTGCTGTAATGGTTAAGGCATTAAGAAAACCATGAGACCATGAGTTCTAGTCCCACCTTACATACAAAGTCAGCTAGTTGATCTTCAATCAATTACTTTCTTTCAGCCCTAGGAACTTGGCAATAACAAACCACTTCTGAAAAAATTTGTTGAGAAGACTTGCTGGGACTTGTTTAGGTGGTCTCTGAAAATCAGACTCAACTGAACAGAGAAATATATATATATATTAATGCAATGAAATGTTTTGAGCAGTATTTTTTCTTTTTCTAGCCACTATATTTGTTAATATCAAGTTTTAAAATCTCCCTCCCACCCATTCCATTCTATGTAGGCTATTTAGAGAATTCTTAGCATAAGAAGAAATTGATGTCAAAAAAAATCTCAGAAGACTAAAGGCATTAATTTAGACTGACACTGGATAAATTGTCTTTCTTGTTTGCAGTCACACGAATTGCAATACATAGCTTTTTACCACTGAGATGTTTATAAAGTACAAAGTAAACCAATAAACATTTGCAAAGTATCACAGAGGTGTAAGTGTTCTTAATTTAGTATGTGTCTAGCAGTT